TGATATATTAATTATCCTATTTGTATTTTTATTTATAATAATTGCAAAATATGTAAATATGCAAATAAGTGAATATGTATTTATTTACATGTTTCTCATATAATATAACGAAACAATTGTTGTAACACTTAAAAAAGTATACATACAAGAGAGCAAACACTGAAGACTATCGATATACAATGTGTACACTTTTCGACACAGTGCCTGTGGAGCGAATTGCCGTAACGAAAGGGTTAATCAATTTTTTATATTTTTAGTGATATCTTTAGAATCTCCATCTATTTTTTTTCGATAGCATTATGTTTCTTTTCGATAGTTAAAACATTATTTCTTTCTAATGTTCTTCATTTACAGACTTATTTATATTATATCTTCTTCTAATTTCAACATTTCTGCTGTCATAGTTGCAAATTTTGTCTTCTTAAAAAAGAGATAAGCATTAAAAAACGAACTCAATATATGAATTGTAACATAACGTGAAATAGTTGAAACTATTCTAAAGTTTCTTCTAAAGTTTAAATTATTATTAATCTGTGCATTCAAGAAAAAAGTAATAGTGCATTTCGAATATCAGTAATATTGTGAAATTTAAGTTTTAGTTTTGACAAATATTCTTTTCTTCATGTTTAGAAGAAATGATGACATATTAAAAAAAATAACAAGTGAGAATTAAAAGAAATTATCTCAAAATGAGAATGAAATTAAGATTCTCGTATTAAATGAAACTAGACGAAGAAATCATCAGATTAAAGAGAAAAGTTTCCGGAATTTTCGTCTGAATTTTCATAGAAAAAGGATATATCATCCAATTCTGACATCCGACAAATTCTGATATCCGAGAACAACAAAAATATTCCCAGATTATCCCAAAATTTAAATAAATCTGATATAGAAATTGTAATCGATGGAATAATTTGAAGGAAATTGGAAAGAAATTGGAAAAGTGATAAACCATCTATACAATATTCAAAGACATTGCTGGCTACACAAAAAAAAAAAAAAATAATGATGACAGATAGAGCAAGCAGTGTCTTTTATTTGATAATCAGCAAAAACATGTTAGAATATATAAAATACTGTATCAAAGCAGAGACATGTGGTTTTTTGAAAAGTGATTGGACAATTTGAATCATCAAGCTTTTTACTTTTATTGCAATAAATGGAAAAATTGATTTATATACATAATTTATACATTTATATAAACAAATTTGCATTGATATCTGAAATATGGAATAAATTTAAAAACAAGAATCTGTTATAAATCTCACGAAAATATTTCAATAAACAAGTAACTCTTCTCTATGAAAACTCGATACAGATTCACGTAATATAATATATCAAATAAATCATATAAATTTGGCACAAAGTTTTGATTAGCAATAAACGTAAATTTAAAATATGTTATAAGTGATTTCCTTTGTCGGATAAAAACATTCATTGTGAACATTCATTCAACATTCTTGGGCGCAAATTTGTAGTTTAAAAGCAAATCATATTTATATCAAGAGAAGAATATAATAATTTATTTTACTATTCCTCTTGCGAAAAAATTAATTGTAAAAAAAACCAATTTAATCGAAGCATCCAAATCGAAAGGGAATTTTTAAAAAAATAGGAAAGACAAGGAAATAAAATTATATTCCTCAGAATGTTATAAATCGGAAAACTGCATATTTACCTGTAATATATCTGTAAAAGTAAGTCAAAGGTAATGATATTATTACTTAAGTATATGCCTATAAAATTAAAAGATAATAACAAATGCATCACATAAATAAATCATATATTACAATAAGACTAAATTTTGAGTAGATGTAATTGAAATAAATCAAATGACGCCGAAATATACCATAAAAAGCATTTTGATGGCCAAGTATTCTTCAATATTCTTCAATATTTCGGATTCAGCAGCAATAAATATAAATAATGCATATATAAAGAATATATACTGAATCAAAGTTATCAAAGAAGGATTTTTTTTCAATTGGCCGAAGAAGTTACCGACAAAAAAAAGAAAAATCAACAAACATTGATTATTCGTAGTTTTTACGAGAATGTAAAAGTCGGATATTGTAAAAAAAAAAAAAGAAAGCAATACCTGTATAAAGTATAAAAAAATTATTTATGAAAATATGTAAATAAAATTGAGTATACATGTAAAAAATGCGTAGAATGAATGTAATATTATAGTATGTAGAATATAATGTTGAATATTATAAATTTATAAAAATATATATCTCAAGTTTCATTATAAGTATAGATTTTATTCATAAATTAATAGTGTTAATAATAATTAAATTGTTTTCTAAGTTGTTTTTTAAAGAAAATATATGATTTCGTTTATGTATCAAATTAACGTGTAAAGATATATGACTAAATAATATTTGTAAATCTAATATTTAACCTAAAATGTTAAGCCTAATGTTTAAGATTGCACAGTAGATTAAGAAACATAACATTTCATAACAATTTGTCACATCAATAATCTTTTATTTATGACAAAAATGATTTTTCTTACTTATTATAAAAAATTAGTTTCATTTTCATTTTTATATTTGTTGGCTGGTTATGCAGTGGTGAACAATAAATAAAAAATATACGGATTTAGCTGAAGGGATATATTTTGGTTATACATGAGTGCACGTGTCGGTTTTCAGAACAACAACTGAAGATCGCGTATCGAAGATAAATAAAAGGATACCAACTACAGAATAGTAACCTGTTAGCAACGTTCAATAATAAAATTATAGATAAAATTTCAGTGAACTTTATATTCTATAATACTCCCACTAAAAGTGAACTGAAATTTGTTTAATGTATGTACGTTTATTATGTTTGAGTGTCATAATTCTGTATGCCTGTCATATCTTCGATATTCTTGACATTTAATCGATTTCTTTGTATCTCAAATACTGTTCTTCTCAAAGGTTTTGTTAGCAGCTCTGCTTGCTGCTCCTCCGATGCTATATGTTGCAGAAGAAATTCCTTCTCTTTGAATTTATCTCGTATGAAATGATAGTGTACATCAATGTGCTTGCTTCTCTGTTGAAATTCTGGATTTTTAATAAGCTTGATAGTGCTCAAATTATCCACGTAAAGTTTTTGAATATAGATAGATCATTGATCAAACTTTTCATCCATATGATTTCTTTCACGGTTTGACTTGACACTTCGGTAGCTCAGCTTCGCTAGTCAACAAAGTTATTCGTTATCGTGTTAACCTCCAAGCAATTGCAGAATCGCCTAATTTTAATACAAAATCAGTAATGGATTTCCTAATTTCAGTGTCTGCGGCATAGTCTGCATCGCTGAATACTTTAATGTGATTATTTTGTATGGTTGAAAAGTAAATTCCATATTTTGTTGTTCGCTTTAGATATTTGAAAATTCTTTTTACCGCATTCCAGTGAATTTTGTTCGGTTTTTTCCAAATATTGACTGACTTTGTTCACTGCAAATGTAAGTCTGATTTAGTGCCTATTGACAAATACATTAAATTTCCTACCGCTTGTCGGTATGAGAACTCTGATTTCTTCTTATGCCCATTTTTATGATCCTCCATGCACAGTTGATGGTGTTGGTCTACTGGGATTGCTACTGCGTTAGCATTTTCCATCCGAAATCGTTGTAAAATTTTATTAGTGTAAATCTCTTGATGCAAAAATATGGAACTGTCTGCTAATCGCTCGATCTGTAATCCTAGGTACATATTTATTTCATTGGATGTTACTTCAAATTCCTTATGGAGTTCAGCTAATAACTTTTTTATGGATGACTGGTTCGTTGCGCTAATTAATCCATCATCGACGTGGATTGCTAGAATCAATCGATCTCGACCGTCTTCGTTTGTAAATACACAATGGTCTGCGCTGGTGGACTTAAGACCATGCTTTTTCAGTACTGCTGTAAAATGATGATTCCAACATCTTGATGCCTATTTCAGACAAACTACGATTTAATTTGCAAACACGGTTAGTTCCATTCTCGTATTTCTTTGGTTGTTGTATATAGATAACCTCGTCGAGTTCTCCGTGAAGAAAAGCTGTTTTGACATCAAATTATTGTATATATTGTTCGAGGTTGTAATAGATAAAATAGTTCTTATTGAATCAAATCTAGCTACGGGACTAAACGTTTCATGATAATCAACTCCAATTTGAAACTCAATCTAATCAACTCCGAGTTTGAAACCTCGAGCTACGAGTTTTGCTTTGAATCGTTGTATGCTTCCATCATTATTCATTTTCAGTTTGTATGCCCATCTATTGTCTGTAACTTGATGATCTGATGGCGGATTTTTGGGTTTTTCTCAATGAATTGATTTCATCATCCATGACTTCTTTCCATTTGATCGCATTTCTACCTGTGATTGCGTCATTATAGTCTTTCGGTTCATGCTGTTCTGTGATTACAATATTTCCATATGTGAGTCTGTCTGGTCGACGTATCTTATTCTGTCTCTCAAACGCCGATTTTGCTCGTACTGATTTTGATTTTTATTTCCTGAATCGTCTGATTCTTCATCTGAATATATCTGCTCGTTGTTTTCTGATTGAGTAACGTTTTTCGATTCAACATCTATTTCTGTTGTGTCGTCTTTCTGATATTTAAAGCTTATGATATTCGATTCTAATTCCCATTCTTCATTTGAATTGATTTCGTAGTGTTGATTTGTAAATTTTACATCTCTATGTATTTTGACTTGTCCTCTTTCAGGAAGCCAAATTCGGAATCCTTTTGTATTTTCATCATATCCAACGAAGATGCCTTTTTCGGCTTTGATGTCCCACTTTTGTCTCTTTTCTTTTGGGAAATATACTTTTTCTTCGAATGTTCTGAGATTTGAGATGTTCGGTCTCTTCTTCAGCCACAGTTCAATAGGTGTTACTCCTTTCTTCCCACTAGTTCCTGTTCTATTTAAGGTGTAAACAGTATAATTAACTGTCTCGGCCCACATTTTAATCGACAGTTTTCCTGCGTGCAACGACGTTCTAGCCAGATCAACTACGGTTCTGTTTTCTCGTTCGGCGGAACCATTCTATTCTATTGTATAAATGGTACCGTTTTCTGATGCGTAATACCATGTCGATTAATTCTTCAATTTCCCTATTGGCAAATTCAAAACCGTTATCTGACCTGAAAATTTTTATTCCCTTTTCTAAATGTTTATCGGTTTTCTTAAAGAAATCTAGACACCGTGATGTCTCTGATTTGTTTTTGATGAAATATAAATTTCTCCAATGACTGTAATCATCTTTCATCATTAAGAAATATCACCTCCAAGTAAATTTTCTTGCATTAGATTTGAGAGATCTGCATGGATGAGTTCTTCGTTCAGATTTTGTATTGCTTTTCGGGAACGATAATCTATGTATTTTTCCTAGAATGCAATTTTCATAACAAAATTCCTGATCTTTGAAAATGATGTTCTCAGATTTTAAAATTTTCTTCACATGATCCACATTCTGATGAGTCATTTGTTTGTGCCAGAAGAAAAGAGAATTGCATACTGCCGTATTTGTTTGATGCTCATCTGCAATGACTTTAAATTTCATTATGAACAATTTATCTTTTCTTTCTTCCACTGCAATGATATTTCCATTCTTCATGAATTTACATATTTTGTCATCAGAATATTGTTGTAACCCCTTATCAAGAGCTGCACTCGCCGAGAAAAAATTGAAGCTCAATTCTGGTACGTGAAAAACATTACTGAGATATTTTCGTACCCATTTCTTTTCATTAAAAGCAAAAATATCAATATTTCCTAATCCAATTGCTTGAATATATTTTCCATCACCTATCTTAATATTCTCTACTGTATCGAATTTTCTATATGATATAAATCATTCGCGACGATTCGACATATGTTCAGTCGAATCTAATGCCATGCATCACTGAATGCTTCTAAATTATATTGTACAGACATGGCTTCGATGAGTGCCTCTCCTTTTCTTCCAGTATATTTTTCGTTTGATATTGCCGCTTTTCGGTTTCGGCATTCCTTGATCCAATGTCCTGGTTTGTGACAATAATGACATACGCCCGGTTTGGAATTACCTTTCTTAAAATTTTTCTTATGTTGATGCTTATTTGCAGTAAAGGCGATGTTCTCTGTCCTTTCTTCGGTTTCTGCCTTCATCTCCTCAATGGTGAGCCTTAAAATAAGATTTGTGAGAGTTTTTTCATTAAGTGAGTCGATTCCCATGCGCTAACGAAATGTCTGAGTGACGGAGGTAATGTCATGAGTATTTTAGTGATAATCATTTGATTTGGAATTTTCTCATCCAAAATTTGCAATCGATGTGCAAGGTTCTCGACTTTTATGATGTGAGTAGCTATATCGTCTCCTGGTTCCTTCTGGTAACTGTACCATTGTTGCAACAGCATGTGCACACTAGTATTAGACTTTTGTTCATAAACAGATTCCAATTTTTCCCACATATCCCTAGCTGATTCACAATTGTAAGAGCGGTTTTTCATCTACTGATGTGGCGATTATGCCACATTATTGAGTTATACTATCGAGTTTTGTCCAAGCAGCACGTGCTCGATTCGCCGTATCATCTCCTGGTGCGGAAAGAACTGATTCACTTGTAACTATTTCCCAAGTATCACAGAATTTCAAAGTAACGCGCACTTGAAATTTCTATGAAGACCAATTTTCTAATCCTTTCAGCTTATTGATACGAATAGCTTTGTTCTCCATCACGATTCACATTTGCTCACGGCTGGATATTTAATCCACGTGGTTTTTCAATTCAACTGTACTTTACTTAATTATTTATTGTTTCTTTCGTAATCTGGGGCCACAAACTGTTGGTTGATTATGCAGTGGTGAACAATAAATAAAAAAATATATGGATTTAGCTGAATGGATATATTTTGGTTATACGTGAATGTACGTGTCGGTTTTCAGAACAACTGAAGATCGTGTATCGAAGATAAACAAATGGATATCAACTATAGAATAGTAACTGCTTCAATAATAAAATTATAGATAAAATTTCAGTGAATTTTATATTATATAACAATATTCTATCTATCTAAATAATAAAGACAAACTGGGTGTAAAGACATATAAAATTCCAGTATGAATATTTCAATACAAATAGCAATTTCAATTTCAGAAGTATTCATATTGACAATAAATATCACGACAAATCTCATGCATATAATAATGTGCAAAACCAAGTGAATAAATATTCTTTATTAAAAAAAATTAAGAATTCTACAAAATTGTTTATGTTAGCTCAAACTATGTAAAATGTTATATTTGTGATGTTTATTTTCTGTCATAATTATTATTTATAATAAAAATAAAATTTTCCATTATTGGTTCAATTTTGCTCTTCAAATATTTATATGCTTCAAATATACTAATAAAATAAGAATATATTTTTTCAAAATAAATAAACATCAAAATTTTTGAAATAAATAACGCTAAATTTTTGTATAAATGAAGAAAAGATATTTTAAAACTCATTATTTTTATTTTATTATTTTAAAATTTATATTTTAAAATTCATTTTGATTGATAAAATCATTATTTTGATGAGTCTTGATACATTTAAGTATACTTTATACAAATAATAAAAAATTAAAAAAAACAAATAAAAGAACAATTATTTCATTTTATTAATAGTTAAATTATTATAATTATATTAATACAATGTTAATAATTTTAAGAAATTCATCATTTTGTCATAACAGTTCTAATGTTATTCTAAGAATACATAATTTTAAAATTACAACGAAATATTAGAACAATAAAAATTTCTGAAATATTAGAAATAGTTACGCAATGAAAATCTATAATATGTTGTTAGAGAAACTGGAATTAAAAGAATGTTGTGAACAAATTTAAAATGATCTGAAGATATGACAATTACAATGAAGAAAAATAATTTAATTAATGAATATAGTAAGATTTACACGTCTTATAAAATGATCAGAAATCGAAAAATTATTTAAAGATCTATATAGAAGTTGACGTATTGTCGTTCATTACGAAAAGAATTTATTAAGAAAAAAAAGAATATATCTCGAACAAAGTGTATATTGAATTAAATATAACGAATATTTTTTTATCGATAAAAAATTATATCTAATTATATCAGAAATTAATAAATAAATAAATATAATATTCAATACTTTCTTTGAGATATGCTTGGATTTTTAATTAATTTTATTAAAAAAAAATATCGAAAAATGATGAAATGCAAATGAAGATTTTTTAAGACGAATACATTGATTTGTAAAATTCAAATTGATTCAAATATCATTAGTGATATCATTTCTTCGTACATATAAAGATAATTAAAAGAAAATTTGTATATCGAAAAACATATTCAACTTTTTTAATATAAACAATATCTTATAGAAATATAATTTGATTTGCTTTTCTATATAGCTTTTATCAAAACAAGTTGAACTTTTTATTATTATAACGATTTATTATAAATTTGAATAAAATGTTTATTTAACAACTTATCTATGAATTTAAAATAATATTGTCAATATCCTAAAATTTATGGAAACTTATTCGAGATAAGTTTTTGTTAATATAAAGAGTTACATAATATATATATTTCGCAAAAATTTTAAAATAGTTAACTATTTATTTAAATGTATACAAGTTTGTCATTTTTTCGTTAAGAAATTCTGCCACATAAGCTGGTATTGCTGTGTATCTTGCTGAATGTTCTCGCTCTATCTATTTATTCTATCTAATGCAATATTAAAATGTTTATAATTCGTTAATTAATCACATATACATGTATGAATATATAGATCTCTATATTTTTATATAAATAATATATTAACATTTTCAATATATATTACCAGTATGTAAATTTGAATAATCATA